CCTCATATAAGTGGAATCATACAGTATTTGTCTTTTTGTGACTGGCTTATTTTACTTAACCGTAATGTCCTCAAGGTTCATCCATGTTGTAGCATATTGCAGAATTTCCTTCCTTTTTAAGGATGAATAATATTCAGAAATATTTTATTTAACTCTTAAAGAATATCTGTCTCAAATTAATGTCTAATATTGCATATGTATAGTAAAATATATGGATATATCCATTATAGTAAGGTAGAAGATAAGGATGCTTGCTACTTAATATTGTTCTGGAAAGTCCAGCCAATATAATTCCATAAGAAAAGGAAATAAATGGTATAACTCTTGAAAAAAGAATATAAAGTTGTCTTTATTTGCAAGTAGCATGGTTTTCTATTCAGACTAAAAAACTACTTTGAAGTAAGAGTATATATTTAAAAATTAGCTCTTTTTACAACTCTGCCTCTCTATTTGTGACCTAGATTCCACCCTTTTGCCTATTCAAGAACTTTGTTCTTGCATTTTTCATTCTCATCAATTGTTTTCTCTCTCTTACCGATTATCCCCAACAGCATATGTTTTATTATCTCTCATCTTTAAAATATCCTCCCTCTGACCTCATCATGTGTTTTTCCAGCTACAATCCCATTTCTCTGCTCCCATTACAGCAAGACTCTTTTTTTTTTTTTTTTGTGGTGAGGAAGATTGTCCCTGAGCTAACATCTATGCCAGTCTTCCTCTATTTTGTATGTGGGACACCGCCACAGCATGGCTGGAGGAGCGGTGTGTAGGTCTGCACCTGGGATCTGGACCCGCGAACCCCAGGCCACTGAAGCAGAGTGTGTGAGCTTAACGACTACACCACCAGGCCGGCCCCGTAGAGCAAGACTCTTAAAAAGAATTGTCTATAGTCACTCCCTCAGCCTCTTGTGTGCCATTCGCTCTTTCTCTTTTTATAAGCTTTCTTTTTATTATTCTCCTCTAGGTGCTTCACGTGTTGGCAGGAGGACTCACATTTGTGTGGGTCCCAGGCCCACTTTAGGTGCATGCACTGGACAGAGCTGCACCCCGTTCCCTCCCTCTTCACTCCAGTCTGTCTGTCAGCTTCACCACTTCACTCACTCCTCCCTGACCCCCTCAAAGTCACTTGTGACCTGAGTTGCCACATCCACTGGTCAAGTCTCTGTCCTCTTCTTACTCAACGTCTCAGCAGCATTTGACATAGTAGCCTACTCTCTCCTCTCCAGAACCCTTTCTTCTCCCGCCTATTGGGACACCAGAGTCTCCTCATTTTCCTCCTGCATCACTTGTCACTCCTTCTCAGTCTTCTGGGGGTGGTCCCTGACTCTTTTCCTCTGTAGCCATGTCCTCTTCTTGGATGACCTCATCCAGGCCCAAGACCCGTAATAGCATCTAAGCACTGATGATCCCTGATTTATATCTCATGCCCTGCCCCCAGAGTCTAGATTTGTCACTCCAGGTGCCTACTTGAAATCCTCACTTGCACGTCTAATAGGCACCTCAAACTTGACCTGTCCAATCTTGATTCTTCTCTCTAAAACTTCCTCCTCCTCTTGGTTAATGAGACCCCTTGACACACTTTTGTTCAAGCCCCAAAACCACAGTACATCCTTGATCTGTTTCTTTCCCTCACTCCTTCCCCACATTCAGTTTGTCAGCCTCCTCTATTGACTGTCTTCCAAATACATCACGTCCTCGCTGTCTGTGCTGCTACAGCCCACGTCCTCGCCACTGCTCTCAACTCCTGCCTGGGCTGTTTGCAGTGGCCTCCCCCATTGTTCTTTTCCACTTTTCCTCTGCAGCCAGTTCCTTCACAGCATCCAAAGTGACCTTTTAAATGTAAATCAGATCCTACCACTCCTCTGCTAACCCTCGGCAGCTTCCTATTACACTTAGAATAAAATTGCATTCTTTTTACCCGTCTACAGGGCCTTAAAGATCCAGTCCCTGAGTGCCCTTCTCACCTCTTCGTGGCCTCCCTTCCTGGCTCTATCTGGCTGTGTCCACTCCTGCCTTCCCTAGTCAGCCTCCTGGCCTCTACCCAGGTTCCCTGGTCCTCAGGTGGCCTCCCCGATGCGCACGAGACTTGCTGCATCTCACTATCGAGGTCTGTGCTCAAATGCCGTTTCTTCAAAGATGCTTCCCAGACCACTGTCTAAATGTGTACCACCCCCCAGCATGCCTCTGCTCTCACCTGCTCTGTTTTCTTTTATTACTTATAAGTATCTGAAATTATTTTTCTATTTATATTCTTATTTATTGTCTGTCTCTCTCACTAGAATAGAAGCTCCATGAAGGCAGTGACTTCATCTGCCTTGTTCTTTCTTGTATCCCTTGTGCCTAGAGCAGGGCTGGCCCATAGTAGGTGCTCAGTTAATGTCTGTTGAATGAATTTTAGCACTTACCAGTTATAAAACATACTGGGGAAAAAATAATGTGTTTACAATGGTGAGATATATATGTATATAGTACCTAAACAATAAGTAAAAGATCAGCAACAAAAATGAGGCATCATTTTCTCCTACTTAATTGGAAAAACTAATGTTAGTGATAATGTTCATGAGAAGACTAGGAAATGGGTGCTCTTATTTGCCGCTGGTGGAAATATAAAGTTGTCTAAGCTGTCATAAGTGGTGAGTCATGGGTGATTTTTATCTTGATTTTTGTGGTTTGCTATGTTTCTCATTTTTTCCCGATAATTACCTATTTTTCCCCAATAATTTTTATTTTATTTTTATTTTTTAATTTTTTTTTGTGAGGAAGATCGGCCCTGAGCTAACATCTGCCAATCCTCCTCTTTTTGCTGAGGAAGACCGGCCCTGGGCTAACACCCATGCCCATCTTCCTCTATTTTATATGGGACACCGCCACAGCATGGCTTGCCAAGTGGTGTGTCGGGGGGCGCCCGGGATCCGAATGGCGAACCCCGGGCCGCTGCAGTGGAGCGCCGGCACCCAACCGCTTGTGCCACCGGGCTGGCCCCTCCCCAATAATTTTTATTTTTTATTTATTTATTTATTTTTTTAAGATTTTATTTATTTTATTTTTTCCCCCCAAAGCCCCAGTGGATAGTTGTATGTTGCAGCTGCACATCCTTCTAGCTGCTGCATGCGGGACCCGGCCTCAAGATGAACGGAGAAGCGGTGCCTCGATGCGCACCCGGGATCCGAACCCGGGCCACCAGCATCGCAGCGCACGCACTTAACCACCAAGCCACAGGGCCGGCCCAACCCAATAATTTTTAAACCAGAAAAATCCCTTAATCTTCCTTGCCCCCCACCTTTTCTTTTGTTAACCCGGCTGGATCCTTGTGTCAGCAAACTTGTAAAGCTGATCCCAGCGGCAAGATGGTCTTGTTCTGTTGATGATCTTCTCCTAGAAATGTTTAATCTGAATCTTGTGTCAGATTTCTCTGGAATAATGTACTACTGGTCATTGAAAACTGTGTGTGCAGTCACTCTTGCTCTGAGGGCCTGGGCTGGTTTAGGGAGCCCACCGGTGCTAAGGTGGGGCTGGGAAAAGCCTGCAGCACTAAGGTGGGGCCCACCCAGTTTGACGTGGGGTCCCACACCCTTCCTGCCGAGACCCAGGTCTCCACAGACAGGGGAAGCCTAACATTTCTTGGCAGATACCCTGCCTGACTCCCTCGCTGCTTGGAATTGAATAAAAAAGAATAACAATCACAGCCCCACATGCCTCTCCCTCTGCCATATGCAGCTGGACTTCTGGTGCCTGTTTCCCTTCGACACATCCGGGCCCTGTTCTGCCAGTGCCCATGCGGCCAGCCCTCTCGTCTGCGCCCCAGGCTCCCAGAAGGGAGGCTCGCAGCTGAATCTCTAGTGGCCGTTCTTTTTTTTTTTTTTTTTTT